CGGTCCGCCGTGCATGTAACTACAGGGCAAACACCTGCGAGGATACTGTTTGGTAGTAAACTAGGGTTGCCCAGTAATTTAAAATTTGGAATAACTGGCCATGTGAGAGGAATTGGGAAAGTAACGTCTACTGCTCTCGAGGAAGAGCTAAGAGAGGTGCATCCTCTTGTGAGTCAGCGAACTCAAATTATGAGTGACAAAATGAGGACCAGGTAAGACAATGCAATGAACTCCGAAGGTTTTCAAAATGGAGATTTGGTGTTGCTGTACAATCCACAACGGAAGAGGGGTTTGGCCCCAAAACTTCAATGTGATTGGGAAGGTTCATACAAGATAATCGAACGACTAAACGACGTAGTGTATCGAATCCAAGCTGTTGGGAGGCCATGAACAAGTGGTCCACCTAGAGAGGCTTGCTGAGTTTGGAATAGCGAATGTGTCTGATCGGGACGAACAGACTTAGGTGGAGGCCAGCGTGGCGAAAATGCGAAGGGAATGCCAGATAATAGAGAGAAGCCAGTAACTGGTACATTCTAGAGCGAAACCTGCGTTATCGATCAACTCGATTATTCTACATTTTCGTTTACGAGCAGCCCATCGCTATATAAGGGTGACACTCAGCTGCCAAGGGAGTCAGTTACAAAGTGAACTCGTTGACGACAATATCAGTAAGTAAGTAAGCGCATTGGATGTTACATTTAAGTAAAGTAAATTGTGAAAGTATATGCAAGTAAATTTTAACTAGTAAATTGCATTGTAATTGAATTGTGAATTACTGAGCAAATAAAGGACATTAGGTAAATTCTTCATAACGAAAGAATAAGCAAATTAAGTTGGCGAGTTTTTATTTAACAATCCAGAGATCGTACCCGAAGGATTCAGAAAATCATCAAGGTTGATTCAGCAAAATCGCACGGTACGCTATTATTTTGTACATAACATTGCATTTCCACGATAGCCCAATTAGGTGTTTCGCTCTCCCAATTACGAATGTGAATTACCCCTTTTGAAAACTTATTGAAAATTATTGATTTTGTTAGAAGTTATCGAAATCTTGTATTGAATTGGTAATGTTATGCCAGTTTTTTATTTATTTCAAATTTTTTCTTATTTTATACACTAATAGTTGTTAGTTTCAAATCAATGTTTGTGTGTTAGTGCCTTCTTTCATGATTCTTCTCTCATTTGTTTTGATTTGTCAGCTGGTTTCGATAAAATTTCGAATTGAATTAAAGAAGGCATCGATATAGTTGTAATTCGCATGGCAATTGACATCGAATTACCAACTTTTACTATAATTCGCCCACGAAAATTTGTATAATACAATATTTCGAATGAAATAATTCGGTGGGTATTTCAAGGGCGAATTACGACTGAGAGAGCCAAACACGTAATTGGCCTTTGTAGAAATGCCGTAAAACGAATTTTGGTGTTGCCACATATAAAAAAGAAATTTTAAAATAAAGCAACTAGAATAAAGTTTTTAAGCTCTATATTGTTACGATTTTACTAAATCAACCTCGATTATTTTCT